AAATAGATGAGGGAGAGACTTGTAGGAGTGGGGGAATAAGTCTACAAGGGAGAAGATAGGCTTGTAGGGGGGAGAGTCTACTACAAGGGAAGAAGACACGCTTGTAGAGAAGAGAGACTACTACAAGGAGGAAGATAGAAAGAAGACCAAGAAGACCAAGAAGACCAAGAAGACCAAGAAGACCAAGAAGACCAAGAAGACCAAGAAGACCAAGAAGACCAAGAAGACCAAGAAGAGGAAGGAAATTTGTCCAAGAAGAAGAAGAAAGGGAGAGGCTTCAATAATTGAGGGAGGAGTCTTTGATCTTGCATCGAGGTAGTTTTGAGGGTGAGAGATCAAGAGGATTGGTCATTCCTCAATGTAAAAGGAAGCCTTGTAATTCTTCTTTGCTTAAGTGGATTGATAGTTGATTCCCTCTGTGGATGTAGGTCTATTGACCGAACCATGTAATTGTTATGTTATTGTGTTTGTGTCCTTGTCGCATTTTCTTCCTGCAGTTTTCTTTTCCCTGTTTCTCCCCTCCTCTTTCGGTAGCCCAGGTTCTTCGAGAGAAAGGGTAACAAGATCGCAACCTGCAGGTAGGTGTTTGTTTCTTGGAGGCTCTGCAAGGACTGAAAGGTTGTCCAGTTCTTTAAAGCTTTGCAGGTTCTTGATGTTCTTGGTGATCAAGAGCCGCAGGAGTTCTTTAGAATTTTCTCTTGAAGTTTGGTGGGGCAAGAATTCACAACAATAAAAAATCTTTTAACATTCATCTTAACATTATTATCTGTCACACTCAAAATATGAATGATTACAAGGCTAACGCAAGCTAACATTTACTTATTTACATGTGCATAAACAGTTTTTGGGAGATAGCCATTCACGACAACAACAAAACCTACTACAACACAATAATTTGCTATTTGGTGGACGTAACAATTCAATCTCATTCACATCAAACATCACTCCTCATGAAGCATCAATGCTCAAGAATAAGAGTATCTCTATTGAAGAGAGGAATGAGAAGATCAATAGATACAAACATAAAAGAAGCAAGAGAAATTTCAAAAAGAAAATCACGGTATATATATTACCACTTCACTATTTGTGTTATTTTAAAGAAAAATATCTATCAAATTCTCTTAATAAATAAATCCAAAACATACTATTTTTATATAAAAATCACATTGAAATATATCACCTTCTCTTACACTTTGTACTCTAACATAGAGTATCACATGCATGCATAAATTAAAAGAGTTTATTTTTTATTGTGAGATAATTGCTCTTTTTTTTTTCTAACATCTAGAAATTGATTATCAACTGCATTGCAGTACCGATGTCGTAAAACTATAGCAGATAGCAGACCACGTGTTAGGGGAAGATTTGCAAAGTTCAAAAATTTAAATCAAGAAATAATTATAACTAACACTAACAATCATGATAATAACGAGAATATTGAGGTAAATGTCATTTCATCATTTTTTTGTTTTTAAATTTTCTGAATGACATTTATTATCTTAAAATTATGAATTTTATAATTATCTTGTTGGGTTTTTTAGGTGAAGTTAAACAAAAATTGTGATTTTTTGTCCTGTAAAATCACTACTATAGATGCATGCTATAACCTTGCATTGTTTAAAAAGCATTGCAAATTATTATTTTTTTATCAAACTAACTAAAAAAATCTAAAAGTTTTTTTAAAAATTTGTGCAAATAAAAAGTATTTTACAAATATAAAAAAAAAAACTCTAACTTTCATGTTTTGCATTTATACCAACCCGAATTTTCTAATTACTTGTATGTTCTCACTTGCAGGTTGCAGTTAATGATAAAGATTTATTTGGCTACTAAGATATTCTTGCTCCTATTATTGACTCCTTAAATATGTATTTTTAGTATGAATAATTCTCTTAAGAAATGATATTCATTAGCAGGCATATCGATAATTATAATGGCTTATTAAATGAAATAAGACTGATTTATTCTTCTATTGAATTGGGCTTGAGCCTGATTAGGAATGAGCCAAATCCTGACTATGGTATTGGGCTCGGTAGACTCCTTGGCAAGCCCATTTGGTCCTAATGGCAAATGTAGTTATACTAGAGAGGCTTGACCAGTGTAAGCTTTAATTCAAAATAACCCATCCATGACCAATTGGAGGTATTCAAAATAACCCATTTGGTCCTAATTGTGCTTTTTAGAAAGCTAAAGTGTGAATTTATAGAAATCAAAATAAAATAATAAGTAAAAGGTAGATTTACATACATACTAAACAATTCTTACATATTTCTATATTTAATATCTAAATTTAAATATTTACTCATGTAATATTTAAATCATTAAATTACATCAAAAAAAATTATTAATATTTATTTTCTTAAGTTAAGTATATATACTTATTCATGCATATATTTCGACTTAATTGTGATGTTTAGTGTTACATAATTTAATATCGAAGCTTAAATGCTAGATGCATAAATATATAAAAATTATGTGGCTGGCTTATAAATACCTCAAACTTAAAATATGTTTAGTAATTAGTTTATATCTCTCTCTCTCTCTCTCTCTCTCTCTCTCTCTCTCTCTCTCTCTCTCTCTGTTGTGTAACTCATGCTAACAGTAACAAATTTAGTTAGGCAAAAGTTGGTTAGTCCGACGATCAATTATGCAAGGTTGCTAATTATTCGAACGAAGTGATGGTTGTTATTTGTTTAAAATCTCTTTAGTTTCATTACATGTTAAAATTAAGTATAATATAATGTTTTAACCTTAATTTGTCTATAATTAAGTTGAATAAAAATACTTAATTAATAATGTAATTGATGCATGCTAAAGAAATTGCAGCGGTAGAGTACTCCACTATCATCTTAATGTTGTGTGAAATCCATCACACACTCAGATTGAAGAAGATAATAAATGGGTATACCATAAGTTTTTACGTGGAAAACCCAAAAAGAAAAAAAAAATTGTTAGGTCTTGCCTCGTTGAAATATTTAACTATGGTGATTATAAGTTAGCTCATTATCCCATAGGGGAAATAGAGTTACACAGTTTCTCGTATTACAATGTCTGTGCGCAAAAGAGCTTGTTGTCACGTTGTAGGGCACGGGCAACGGCCAGTGTTGGTCCCTGGTGGTCGGCCGTGGCTGTCGGAGTTGGTCGAAGTGGCGACAACCTAAGGCAGCTACTATAAAAGGCAGCTTGCATAGGCAAAAGGCAACGTCGACTGGAGGTGGCAGTGGCGCCAGGAAGCGACGGTCGTCGAAGGCGACTTTGGTCGGAGGTGGCGATGAACGAATTTGGCTAAACACTGGCGGTTAGAGTTAGTCGGTGGCAGTGACGTCTGGAAGCGGCGGCGGCTGGAAGCGGCGGCGGCTACCGAAGGGGGTAGAGCCCGAAGTAAGTACGATATTCGGTGATGGATGCTAGGTTGCAGCTCCATCTTCTAGAAGTTATGGTCTTCCACTTGCCCAGGGTCCAGCTCCGCTCTCATGAGGGTGATAGGGCTCTATTTATACGGTCCAATCTGTGAATAAAGAAGGAATTCAGATGATTGAGATTTACTTGAGATGTTTCAAGTTTATTTGAAAAACAATGGAACAATTGTTTCATTAGACTAAAAAATTCAATTTTATTAATAAAAACTACAATACAAAACAAACATGAGGTTTTACAATACACAAACAATATAAAACCAAAAAGGATGAGAGAATAAGTCAACCTATTTATTTCTTTTAATAAGAATTCTCAATCTACATAACCAATTTAATTCTTAAACATCAGACACCATTTATTTATAGAAATTCTCCATAAAAGTTTGACCAGCAATTTCTGTAGAATCTTCTCTCCAAATAAGAAATGTCTGAGCGTGATTTCTCGGATTGAATGCTTCATCATTGCTTTAGAGTTCACGATGAGAATTGATCAGTTGCACTGCAGTGCCTAATAAATGAAATAAAATAGAAAGACAATTACATACAAGCCACCTGAAACATTGATATTAACAAATTACCCATCTGATAGTTGACTTACCAAACTAATGTATTTACACTTGGACTTTCAAACTATTTGGATTTCATGAACATCAAACATATGGGTGGGATTTTACGATAAATTTTGATATTTGAGCGAGAGTTTGAAAAATGGATGATAGAGGGGGGTTTTTATAAATAGCATGCTTTGGGTGGTGAGCATGCAATTGCCCCATGAAATTATTCATTAAATCAATCAAAAAAATAGGTTGTCTAAGTAGTCCTATTTTGACTCCTGAGTATTGTTGTTCAATGAATCAACATCAGTAATAGGAGTAAGAATATGTGAGGAGTCACAACTTGTAAGTGAAACATCAAAATTAGAAAAATGGCCCTCTATTTTTTTTTTATTTTCAATCGAGTCATTTTTCTCAAGATTTTTTTTATATATGATGCATTTTCTTAAAATTTTTTTATGGAGTTTACAAACTATTTTATTATATATTTTATATTTTTTGTGTGATAATATCATCAATATTTACTTCTAAAACTATTTTTTTAGTCACAATTTCTTAAACCGTGACTAAATAATATCATGTTATTATTTATAACTCACATTTTGTTAGATATGGTAAAATTAGTTTTTAATTATCTGCACATTTCTACTTTTAGTCAAATTTAAATGGGTGTAATTATATTTTTAAACTTGTCATTATTTAAGATGGATAATTCTGTTTCTATAGAAGGTTTTTATGATCGTACAAAGTTTAACTCAACGCCTATATTTAAGCTTTTACATTTTCAACAAAAAACTTACCAGAACTTCCGCATGGAAGAATTTGAGAGCTCCTCCGGCCTCAAGAATGAGTCTTGCTCAAGGAGAGGCCAGAAAAAGGACCACGTGATATATTGCTATTTATGTCAACGATCATGTTACTCACTCCTCCTTTTAATGCCTGACGGCCAAGGCTTCTATTTTTTACCAACTTCCCCTCCTTATTTAATTCGCTAGTGCTCCTCTCTTTGTCAAGCTTCCCTATCATTCCATCCGCCATTCATATAATTAACTTTTACCATCTGTAACCTGCTCTCATCACCACTTGCAGATTAGGATTTAAGAGGAGATCATTGATAATGCAAAACTACGAGTTTAATATTGAGGATGACTTACCTCAAGTTAATTTTGAAGATTTGGTAATTCAATGCAGATTTTTTTTTATTCTTTTTTTTTAATTTTTATGATATTTTTTAATGTTAGAAATTAAGATTTAAATGCATAAAACCATCCATAGGATTACTATACATGCATTTGCATGCGAGACATTTAAATTTTGATATTTGCATTTATACCGTTATACCTATGCATCCATGATGAGATCTTTTATTTCACTCTTAAAATTATTTATATTTTTTTGGTGATATGAAAATTTTTGGTTTTATGATTGTTAAAAATTAAAATTTTTATATCTGTCAAAACTTGAAATACATTGTTGTTAAATCTATCCTGAATCAAATATTTTGAGTCATTTTGTTCATTATATTCGAGATTTTAAATTGTCTAATATACTCGATTTGTTGAATCTTGTGTTTCATTTTATGTGTAGTTGTTTCGACTTCTCATAAAGAATGTATTTTTTTTAGCCAATTGCAGCAATTCTTTTTTTTGGTAAAAATAGATTTTTTTTTTTTTTTTTGTTTTGTTTAAAAATTTAATAGCAATAGCAATATTTACTTATTATTAAGAAAATTTTATCCAACTACAAATGTGATTTTGAGAAACTAAATAGTAAAAAAGCCATCCTCAATTGATATATTCATTCAACACATTAAAAATATGTAGACGATACAAATTTTTTATTTTTTAAATCATTATATTTTTCATTTTTATAAACATTATGTTTATAAAAAATAAACATAAAGAAATTTTTTGAAATTTAAATTCAATGCATTTTATTTTACATAAATTAAATATACAAAATGTTTACATTATGCTCATTTCATTGTAGAGCTTTTAAGATATGCATGTCATGATAAAAAAATTAATCAGAATATCATATTATGCTTTTTCCTTATTGCTTATTGTTACAACACATGCACAAAATGAATCTTTTCTTTCCTATCTCATAAAAGACATAAAATTTCTACAAATTTATTAGGTTGTACATTAAAGAGTTTTAAGGAATAAAATAATTGGTGTTGTGAGTCTACATATTGAATGTCACATAGCAAAAATATATATTATTAAATCAATAAATTAACTTGACATAAAATCAATTCATGTTCGTGCTTGAGTTATGTTTAAAATCATACAAGAAGTTGTAAATGTACTTTAGCTTCAGATAACTCACATGCTTGATTAAGAATTCATTGAAAAACAATGTGTTAATTTTAAAGTTGTTATGAACTATAAATTAAGAGAACATATATTTATCATATTTTTGTTAATAATATTTTGGTTATCGTTCTTTTTTGAAGGTTTATTTACTATTTTAAAAAAAATTGCAGGACGCCTTGCTCAACTCACCTATCCCCGAGTTCTTAGAAGATAAACAAAGCTCAAATGCCACTTTATGCTTTGATAATGTCAATCTCAATCATGCACATAATGAAGTCCCCTTGGCTTCTGACTCCTTGAATGCCTCAATAGTAAATGTGACTTTTTCACCTCATTTTCAACAAAGCTTACCACAATCCATCCAGGATGTCAATGGAGGTCAAGTGCAGGCCTTCTTTCCAGATAATATTATGTCAATCCCAATATCAATGCCCATGTCAACATCGATGTTACCATCAATGCCTCTGTCAAATATTGATTATCAAAAAAATACGACAATGAGGCTTTATAACCAGTATAAATATTTTCGGCAGATGGCTTATGGCTCCACTAATGCGCAGGTAATATTTCTTTTCATGCAAAAAATAGAATTTTTATTAAATTATTCTTATTGAGAAGACCGCTAAAAATAATTTAGTTTTATAAATTTAAAATATTTTAATGGCATGTCTTAAATTTTTTCCTTTAATTTTTTTTTCTTGTAAATGATATTATAGAGTAATTTATAGAATGCAAAATCCAACCAAATTATCCCCAATCTACCAACATATGTTAGTCAAAGATTAATAATTTAAGAGAAAAAATTTAATAAGTTACTATAGTGCTAGAAAAATCATCACATTAGTACAAGTTTTTACTAAGGCCTAAATAATATAATATATATAAATAATTTGGCTATAAAAAATAAAAATGTGAATATGACGAGAAAAAATGTGGTATTTTAAAGATGAAAAACTTAGAATAAAAAGATACGCAGAAATATCATAAAGAGAATCAAAAAATTAAATCAACATGAAATTGAAATATTATGCTAAGTGATAAAACAAATTGTTATCATTTTTTAAGTTATCTAAGATATTTAATGACAATAATTTTAAGAATCTTATTTGGAAAAATCTTTTATCATGAACTATAAAGTTATCCTATGTACATACTAGAATAATTTTTAGTTTTCATAAACTAGGGGTCAATAAATACTTCTATTATCCCTTTAATATCAATTATTTTTAATCTACTATTTATAAAAAATCTTTTAGCATTCATCTGAACATTATTATCTGTCACACTCAAAATATGAATGATTCCAAGGCTAATGCAAGCTAATATTTACTTATTTACATGTGCATAAACAGTTGTTGGGAGATAGTCATTCACGACAACAACAACAACAACAACAACAACAACAACAACTATGCAATAATATGTTACTTGGTGGACGTAACAATTCAATCTCACTCGCATCAAACATCACTCCTCATGAAGCATCAATGCTCAAGAATAAGAGTATCTCTATTGAAGAGAGGAATGAGAAGATCAATAGATACAAACATAAAAGAAGCAAGAGAAATTTCAAAAAGAAAATCACGGTATATATATTACCACTTCACTATTTGTGTTATTTTAAAGAAAAATATCTATCAAATTCTCTTAATAAATAAATCCAAAACATACTATTTTTATATAAAAATCACATTGAAATATATCACCTTCTCTTACACTTTGTACTCTAACATAGAGTATCACATGCATGCATAAATTAAAAGAGTTTATTTTTTATTGTGAGATAATTGCTCTTTTTTTTTTTAACATATAGAAATTGATTATCAACTTCATTGCAGTACCGATGTCGGAAAACTATAGCAGATAGCAGACCACGTGTTAGAGGAAGGTTCGCAAAGTTCGAAAATTTAGATCAAGAGATAATTATAACTAACACCAACTGTCATGATAATAATGAGAATACTAAGGTAAATGTCATTTCATCATTTTTTATTTTAAATTTTTTGAATGAAATTTCATCATTATTATATTGAAATTATAAAGTTTATAATTATATGGTTGGTGTTTTTTAGGTGAAGTTAAACAAAAATTATGATTTTTTGTCTGCAAGCTATAACCATGCATATTTTAAAAAGCATTGCCAATTATTATTTTTTATCAATTTTTTATTTAACATATATTTAACATATAAAAAAATTGTGCAAATAAAAAGTATTTTACAAATATTAAAAAAATTCAAACTTACATGTTTTACAATTATACCAACCTGAATTTTCTAATTACTTATATGTTCTCACTTGCAGGCTGCGGTTAATAATAGAGATTTATTTGACTACTCAGATATTCTTGCTCCTATTATTGATGTGGATTCATTAAACAACAACAATACTCTGGAGTCAGAATATGACCCCTTAAATATGTTGTTTTTATATGAATAATTCTCTTAAGAAATGATATTCATTTATTAGACAACTCAATAAAAATATTGGCTTATTCAATGAAATAAAGCTGATTTATTATCTTGTCATTTTAGGTTTCATATTAATTTTGTATTAATATAGAATCTCATATTAACTTTGTATTGTAGTGTCAATAATGAAAAGAACATTTATGTTATTTTTATATCAAAAATTTCAGTGGACTAATAACTGAAAGGTTTCTCTATAAAATGATATCTCTGTGCCGTAATTGCTTCACGAGAGTATCTAATTGTTATCCGTTTGTCAATAGCACTGAAAAGTTGTCTAATTATTGCGTGTGCTATCCGCACGCAGTAATCGCTCTGGAAAGTGCGTTTTAATTCAAAGAGTTTGCACCATTTTCATGGCAAGGAGACATATCTACCACATTTTTACGTATTTTTTACATATATAATGCCTAAACTTTACTTTTTACGATTATACTACCCAAATCTTTCATATCACACCAACAAATTTTATCTTTTTAATTTTAAAATGTGAAATATACATTTTCGTGCGTAAGTAAGGTGGTATGAAAGTAAAAATAGTAGTTTAGGTGGTAGATATGTAAATACATTAGAATTGATCGGTGATATGTATGAATGAATCTTCCTAAGTTATAGTAGTGTACCTCATCCACATACCCTCTATTTTGGTTGTAGTGCATGTCACGTTGTCCTCTTAACATGCTAATTTGATTAGGATTTGAAATCAATTTTAATATATATGTATATTAAGTTGACTAATTAGGCACCAATTAGTGAGCTTTGGTGCAACCAGAATGACTTGGGCTCATTTAGGGCTCCCCGATACTAAAAGGAAGGCTTGGGTATCCTGTTGAGTTTGATTTTATTGAATTGGGATTGAGCCTGATTAGGAATGAGCCGAAACCTGACTATGGTACTGGGCTCGGTAGACTGCTTGGCGAGCCCATTTAGTCCAAATGGCAAATTATGTTTCACTAGAGAGGATTGACCATTTTATGCTTTATAACGAAATAACCTATCCATGACCAATTGGAGGTATGAAATGAGCCAAATGAGCAAATTATGCTTCTTAGAAAGCTAAAGTGTGAATTTATAGAAATCAAAAATAAAATAATAAATAAAAGGTAGATTTATAAACATACTAAACAATTCTTACTTAATTCTATATTTAATATCTAAATTTAAATATTTACTCATTTAATATTTAAATCATTATATTACATCAAAAAAATTATTAATATTTATTTTTTAAAACGAAGTATATAACTTATTTACGCATATATTCTGACTTAATTGAGATATTAAATGTTATATAATTTAATATCAAAGCTTAATTGTTAGATGCATATATATATATATATATATA